AATTCGTTTCATACGACGCACTAACGTCGCATTTAATTGGTTCAATTAAATTCGTCTGAATTAAATTCGACGATAGTGCGACGTATGAAACGGGCCTGTCGAACAACTGACGAATTTAATAACGAATTAAATTCGTCTGAATTAAATTCGACGTATGAAACAGGCCTGAGACTCCGCTACGCGTCGTGTTTTATATGTGATAAAACACTCCTACTCGTTTATTAAACAGTACTTAACTTATAAGTTACAGGATTTATATAAGATAAAGGATAGCGTAAAGGATTATAGTAGGATTTATTCCAGTTAAAGGATTTAATTCATACTTATAGGCTAAGTTCAAGGATAACAATCCTACTGCATTGCCATTGCGTCGTAATTTTGAACCATATTTAATCAATGGTTTGTTCTCAATATATACCATACACTTTAAATATACCATACACTTCACATATGATGGAGAAACAGAAACAAGTACCAGTATCGGTCATACGCAATATACATGTAACATGCGTATATGTATTTAGTTCATTCCTAAGATAAAATAATTAATGAGGAATGTGATACTTGAGTAGCGACATATGAATATTCCTCATAATTATTTTTCTTTTGTCTTATGTTTTATTACGCATGCCTATTCGATCTACAATGAAAGGTGATAGCTTTTCGAGCGCGCACACTTGGGGGAGATGTTCATTCGTGACTGAAATTATTCAACATGTTGAATATTCGGTGCCGATGGCACGCGTGGCTGAAATCGCTCAAAACGCCACCGCACACTGGGGGAACTTGCTTACGCCAACAGTCACGAGTGACGCTCAGCTCAGCTGATATCTCCAGTGTGCGCCGGGCTTTATTCTCGTTTGACCAGATATAAACTTGTTGTGGGGAGTCGTTAATTCCAGGGAAACCCCCAAGCACACTGCAGCACGGTTGTGTCGACTTCCGCTGGCGCGCCATATATAAAGCTGGCACACGCTTGTATACCTGTAAATGGAAAGTACATCTTGACGTGCATGTTAAGCCGCGGTTCTTCCTCAGGTACAAAGCGGTAAACATTATAGATTCAAAATTGAAATCGTAAATATTGCTGGAGAATAGAGACATTTTAATTTTATCTTTCATTATAGATATGGCTGCAAATGGCAATGACATCGAATTTGTCCAACCGTTGCAAGACGAGTTCAAATGTACTTTTTGCAAATTAGTTTTGTGCACGCCATTCCAGACGAGCTGTGGCCATCGGTACTGCGAACGATGTATTAAAGAAAACATATTGACATCGTAAGTTACTTAGTTTTATTCTTAAGGTCTACTTTCTAGTGCTCTTGTGGTAATTTTACGAGTGCAATCTAGCACTGGTATAAACATTATGTATTTATTGTCTTGTATATATGTATACATATGGACTTTTATGGGACAATTGTTGATGTTGTTCTTATTTTCCCACAAAGAGGTTTTATTTTAATTTATGTTTATAGCGGTTCTAAAATGTGCCCTGAGGATAACACTGTCATTTCAATGGAACAAATTTTCCCAGATAAATTTTGTAACCGTGAGATCATGAAACTACAAATCTTCTGTTCGAACAAACATCGAGGCTGCAATTGGACGGGTCCTTTGAAATTTTCTAAGGTATATGTGTAAATTCTATATACCAAAAGGTATTTATTATTGACTGCAGTTTTTCATCACTCTGATGCGCTTGTACGCGTTCGCCATGTGGAATTCACCATTTGCTCAGCACTACACACGCAAAAATCTCACATCTTGCAACAAGTCTGCCAACAAGCCGTCAACAAGATGTATTCGCACTGCTTGTCACAAGTTGTCAATAGGTTTGGAACAACTTGTAACAACCTTGTTGAAATTATCAGACTTGTTGCAAGGTTGTTCTGACAAGTCCGTTACATGCTTGATATAACAAGATTGTTACAACCTTGTGATGACAACCTTGTAACATCCTTGTTATATCATGGCTGTAACAAACTTAGTGTTAGCACAGTCTTGTAACAAGGCTGATAATGCCATCAAGCTTGTTACAAGTTGTTAACAGCTTGTTCCAAACTTGTTCCAACAAACTGGGAACAAGCAGTGCGAACACAACTTGTTGACACCTTGTGAACAGACTTGTAACAATTTGTTTGCAGACTTTGTTACAAACTGTGCGTATTTTACGCGTGTAGTCTTAGCTCGCCTTGTGCGCGTGAATTTCAATGAGTTTTTGGACACATGCAACCTTGAGCTGAAAATCAAACATGTTTGATAGACATAGCCATAGGGTCTGGTTTTAAAATATATGTTCATTGTTTCAAATTAGAATTCTAAAGTAGTACGGTAAAGGTCGATTTACACTACACAACTTTTACCTAAAACTGTCGCATGCAAGTGATGCAACCTGCTTACAACTTGAGTTGTACTGTGTAAATCAATTTCTTACTCATATACTCGTTCATCATACGTTTTCACTTCCGCGTATATTCTTTCACAATAGGATCATCAATCTGAATGCCCCAAACATTTGTTGGTCTGTCCGAAGGGATGCGAAGCAATTGTGCCTCGTTCGGAAATGGAAAACCACTTTGCATGTGCTTGTCCATGTGCGGATACAACCTGTCCAATGGCTGGCCAGTGTGATTTTCAGGTAGGGTAAAAAACTATGACTCTATGACTACAGGTGTATGTTAATGATATAATGTGTCTGGACAGTAAAACCCCCCGCTTTATTTTAATCTAAGAACCGGTGGATATTAAGAACCTGTCTGAATCTTATAGACAATCAAATTTATGAAGGTTTAACTTTTGCACTTGAGCTGACGTGGATTAAATTACATGTTCAAAGAAAAGGCAGTTAAAATAGATTTCCTTAGCTTCGTATGCAAATTGTCAACTGTTTATTTACACTTTTGAGCGATGGTTTCTTTTCAGTTTAATGATATTCGGTTACGAAGCGATGCATTCTGATTAGAATGACAATGAAACCCAAATATTACATCTCTCAAAAGTATAAATATTATTAAAGTGGGCAATTTGCATACCAAACTTGAGGAGGTCTATTAAACTCAATACTACGTGCTTATCCAAAACATACTGTCTTGTTCAGACTTCAATACTCGAAAAGACAAATTTTATGAAATTTAGAGGCTTTAAATAGCAATTATTATAGTATAAATCTAAAATCTAATATATATGGAAGAATACAATTTAACATGCTAAACCAGTAACACTTATTTAACTAAACTCCAATCTTATTTGCTGGGTGTCAGTGCACTACTACTATTAGCACTATATCCCCCCCCCCCCCCTAATGGTGGAGGGTGCACCCACTATCAGATGAGCATGTAGGATATATGCCCCTGTACTCAAACATTAATGCCATGCCCATCAACATATATAAGCGTACAGGGCTGTCAATGCTTTTCAGAAGTTTGCCAATTTTTATGCATGATTGTGATGAAATAACCTGAATTTAACATATAATCAAATCTGCCCAAATTTTCTTGAGTTTTCTTAAGCTTTTCACCAAATTTCCATGGTTTTCTAAAGTTGTTTTTTTTTGTGGGATGGGGGGAGTTGCCCCTCCCCCTGTCTCATATGCCTACATGGCTATAAATCTCCCCTTGATAAGTGAAATAATTTGTCGTTAAATAGAGTAAAATAATACAAAGGTGCATTACATGTGATGCTTTTTTTTGTTGGTTAAAGTTAAACCAAAGATGGGCTAAGGTGAAATCTTTCTTTTACACCTGGTTAAATGGCTATATGTTTTTTTACGGTCAATTTATATTAAATATTTCTGACATTAAGGGTTCTAGAGCTGAACTCAGGGAACATCTGGCAAAAAAGTATGTTGAACATACATTTATGGTTAAAGATAAAATGTCAGCAATGCAGTCTGACATTGAGATGGTAAGAGAACAACAAGAAGTTTTCATGACAAATCAGCAGGATGAAGTTCTTACTCTTCGCAATGATGTTGCTAATTTGCGTGCTTTGTTTGAAAGCCAATTGTAATGGGCATGCAAATGCAGTTTACACACTGACAAAGTGAGTCACTCTCATAATTTTCCTGCATTCTAACTTTTAGATAGTTTTCAGAAAATGTGTTGCAAGATGAAGCAAAAATTGTCTTGTGCAACATGGTCTTACAATGACCTTAAAGTTTTGAGTGTATTATTACATGTATGATTACCAGTAGACCTGTAGTGTAAATATGATAATTGTAAATTTATGATTTATAGCTTGACAAAATTTTACATGGACTATATTATTTTTGGGGGATTTTATAATTTTATATTTACTCATTTGTTAGAATAACCACATTATTTATTGCAAGTGTAATAACATTCTTTATAAAACCTGACTAGCCTGACTTTATTCCTTCTGTGAGCTGTAAGTAATAGTTATGATTTGAACAAGGTTTCAGATGTGCAGTATTGTGGTATCTTGATGATATCCATTTTGGGTACCAGATGTTAAGATACTCATCATACTCATGAGGCCTAAAAAATACTTGTGGTTCTGGTTTCATATTGTGAAAAAATTAGGGTCTACCGACCATGAAATAATTTTTTTAAAATATTTTTTTCATGGTTTTGGCGGTTTTTTGCTGGGCAATTTTCAGTAGAGTCCCGACATTAATATTAACTAGAGGTGCATAGTTCCTATGGACGAATTTAGGCAATTTTGTCCAATAATTAGTGTAACAACAGACGCCATTTTGGCATGCTGTATGAGCCAGCCCGCAACCATGCACCCGGAAAAAATACGGTCGCACGATCAATCGCGTTGAAAAAAATAATAGGGTCGGCAGAAAAAAATAGGGTCGGTCGGGAACCGGAACCACAGGTACTTTTTTTAGGCCTGATGCAATCATTACTTTTTAGTGAATTTGCCTGAAACAATTTATGTTTTTGACAAAGAAACTTGTAACAAAGTTTCCATGTAATGACATAATTTTGGTTTTCTGACTGTCACAATAGTTGTATTATTAATTAGGCAATGTAAAAAATATCCTGGTTTATCATCAGCGGCAGCAGAAAAAACCCGTGCAGGTGGGCGGATTGTTTTTTTTTTATTTTTTACTGAATCACATATAGTAGGTGCACAGAAAAATATTCTCAAAAACGCAGCACTGTCTTATGGTATAATATTTTCAATGCTTCAGTATATTTAGTACGGTTCACCTAAAAAAAAAAATCTATGCAGCACAAAAAATTATGGATGTAGGCACTGATGATAAATCGGAATTACATGGCTTACCCATTACATTATTACAACTATAGATCAGTGACCAACTGCATGCAGCTCAGATTACTTTGACAAGTTTTGTTTGTTGAAAACTTGCTCATCTGTAACCGGCTTAAGACTGGTTTGCACTATCAAAGTTTTCGTATATCACAGTAGGAATTTTCCATAGGTAAATTCCAAGTTTTGGAGGATTTGTAAGAAATGTTTGATGGAACTGCCTGGAACTGACACAGTGTGTAACACTAAGCTCGACCAGGGTTGGATATAAGAACATTTTTTCAAAAATAAAATGTTCTTATTTCTTATATTAATATAAGAACATTTTTTGCAATATAAGCTACATTTTCAAAAACTTTGATGACGTCATATTAACATGTCATCCAAAATCCCAAAATGATGATTCAACTTCAATTTTAGATGTTGCTGTAATGTCTTGGCTTTCAAAATTATAAAAATAGTTATCATTGCAGTATTTATACGACTATTATCTGTATATTTTATTTTCAGGATGAATGAAGTAGAATAATTAATGAGAATAATATAAGAAAATATAAGAACATTTTTGCCTCCCAAAAAAATATTCTTATAGACACTAAGTCACTTCCATCAAACATTTCCTACTGTGATCACAGAAACCTTGATATATAGATTGCAGATTTTCAGAACAAATCCAAGATGGTTTATATAATGGTAATGTTACACAACCATTGCCAGTATAAATCACCTTTTCGCAGCTAGTTGTTAAGATTGTTGGTGCGACTGTTTATATATCGTAAAGATGGGTAATTTTAGATAATATGTAAGGAAGACACATCTTGATGAATTATCTGTCTTGTGTCTAAATCAGGCCGATATTCATAAGTACTTGATAGTTGCACGAATTCGATATATTAATATATACAGCTATTAGGTCACGTATAAATTTATTAATCTTTTAATATATATTAAGAATATAAAGATTAAAAGCTCGTTATTTTAACACAGCAAATTCCAACCTCTTCCATATAACCCAGTGACAATAAGATTTAATACAACATTATTAAAAAGCCAATGTCTCAAGCACTATTTTTTAAATTTGTGACTGTCTGCCAAATATATGATATTTTGCTGGAACACATGACTCGATTTTTTAATCTGGTCGCTTCAAAAATACGACATATATCGTTTCTAAACATACCTGTGTCATCCATCAGTGCTTGTGTCTTGCTTGAAAGCCTCAGAGTGTTCAAACAACAGTCTACTAATGATTTTTAGAGCAACCAGAGAGACGCAATCTGCCTGTCAACTTAAATATTTTGTGTGCAAGTTCCTGTGCTCTGCAATCTGCATGAACAATTTATATTCGACTCTCCGAACTTATGACGTACATTGATCGTATCATTTACGGTCACTCCCGAACCCCGAACCCACTTGTTGTTACCGCCTACCTCCATAACATTGACCTGGAACAGATAATAAAACAAAAATATTTTGTCGGGAAAAGCAGATGGCAGTAGTCCCAAAATTGTCAGTACATTTGAAATTCACCACTAATCTTTTAGCACCATTTACCAGTAATACCACAGAATAAACACTTACAGTGTAATTATTATGTAAGCCGAAAAACTCTCTACTCGGTCGAAAAATATAGAACTCTACGTCTGAAACAAGAGTAGTGGAATTTATAATCAGAAAACCTTATGTGGTTTTGGACGATGTTATCGAATTCTTCCGGGCACGAGAAACGGAGGAAACGATGTGACAATATTTATCAACATAATTGAAAGACTGAAAGACAGAAGTATGGTAGCTGGACTTCCTCTCTTTAAACTAGCTTCATTAGCTATCAAACAATCGGCAAAACCTGTCGCAAATGTTCTCAAACGAGGGGCAAAGGAAAGCGATATATTTAAGAAATATTTATGTTATTATCCCGGTCAAGGTAAACCATACAAATTGTGTAATATGGCTGGCATGATCTGAACGTGGGTTTATAGGTGTTTATCATTCCATGCACGGTTGGATTTAGGTCATAATGTGGGCAGGAATTAACGTTGGAGGCAATTGACATCACTTTATGCGTAGGAACGCCTATTTGATACTTTAAAAGGAATACAACAAATATTTGTGCAAGCAATTTATTAAAACTATAAAAGTGTTACTGTAATTAATTGGGTAAAAACCAGCAATATATAACACCTACTGGGACTGAGGGAAACAGTATCTATGTGAGAGACAAACAGAAGATAGACTGAGCCAAAAAAAGTAACTGCTGCCACGCCATAATTCACAATGATTTTTCATCAAAATGCTATCATCGTGTTCCTAACCAGTGTGGCTATGAGAGGCATTCTGAATCACCCCCTGAACAACTGTCATTTTTAATATTTTCAGGGGGATGATTGCCTCTCATAAGTGCATGGCTAGGACCGTGGTGACAGCATTGCGATGGTTATGCCAAAATTATAGGCAAAACCAAGAGGTTGACATTCTGTAAGGTTCCTATTCTGTGACAGTATGTTTTGTAATCTTGAGACCTGCCGATATTTTACAATCTGAGGGATGATAACATTAGTGATCAAGCCATTGAGGGATCACAAGCAGTAAATTGGGTCATATTCCGCAAAACATCCACACCATGTTGGAAATTGGAACCTTCAGACACCCTTTCTCCTCTGCAGCGGCTTACATGAGGGAAAAGTGAGTGCACAGGCCATCTCCACTTTTACTTAGGAAACTTCATGTAAGTTATTTGTAAATACGTAAGGAGGCTCAGCCAGGGAGAGTTCAAGACATCCTGGTCGATAATTTTACTATTACATAAAACCAGATAAAACCCAACACTTTCCCTTGACAATTATAGTCCTTGATGGCAATGCCTCATAATGCCTCCAACTTTATTATATTCTCTGTCTAATGCCAATGGGTTAACAAATGGCAAATAGTTTTATTAACCCATTAGAGTGTAAGATCCTCCCTTGATAATTAAAGTTGTCTGGCATTTGACAGAGTAAAATAACAAGGTAGTACCACAGAATAGGACATACAGAAGGTTGACTCAGTCAAAATACTATACAGAAGGCCATCTCCATTGTTTTTTGCGTAAGCACTATTCGTCATGATTTGTCACTCGGCAAGTACCGTAAACAGAAGCAGTCACCCCCTGGATGTGTGCCATTTTGAATATTTCCAGGGGGGTGACTACTTCTGTTTATGGTACTTGCTGAGTGACGAATCATGACGAATAGTGCTTACGCAAAAAACAATGGAGATGGCCTTCTGTACTGTATAGTATTCTGTGGCCACGCCATGATTCGTCATCAAAATGATGTTGTCATGTTCCTAACCACTGCAGTTATGAGAGGCATTTACCCCCTGGACATCCGACATTTTCAATCTTTTCAGGGGGGTGAATGCCTCTCATAAGCTACTGGCTAGGACCATGGTAACAGCATTGCAACAGTAATGCCAAAATCATAGGCAAAACCAAGAAGTCTATCTTCTGTATGCCTCTATTTTGTGGTGGTAGTACATTGCACATAATGGCCTACCATTGTCCAGATAATTTTATTCATGTTGGGGATTGATTGCTGACAGAGATACATCACCTACAGAGGGCCATAATCTTGTAAAACATGGGGCTGGTTGTTCAAAAGCTAGTTTATAGCTTAACCCTAGGTAACTAGGTTAATCTAAAATTCAAAGCAAACTTCCCAACAGCTTTTTTATAAAGTTTTTATAACTTTTATAAGTGCAGAAATACAGGAACAAAAACAGTAGGTTAAACTTTAACCCAGGTTAGCTTTGAACAACCGGCCCATGGATAATATTTGCTGAGAAAAATTAAATGAAATTTTATGTAAAAGATTTTGTATATTAGGTATTCACAAGCTCTTTCATGTCTTTCATGTTCATGATTTTCTTAGATGTGACTTCTTAAATGTTCCACGAATAATTAACTAGAGTTACAAGAAAGTACATTTTTCATGTAGTGTACCATCGCTTGGAGTTTCACATTAGAATGCGACTCATGGGCCATAAAGGAAAAATAGAAGTGGACCCTTTGAAAGAAAATGCAGCCGTTGATTTGGGAGCGGAAATGCTAGGTGAAGTAGTTGTGTTTAGTATTGGTGTAGCTGTTTTATATGCAGAGTACAGAAGACAGAAACGTGGTGAGAACCGTGAAGAGAACAAACATCAGGAAAACTTTAGAAATTTGAAAAATAAAGTTGAAGAACTTGGTGTGTGTGTAGAAAAACAGAATGAGGAAATAGAAAGACTAAATATAATTGTGAGCAACATTGAAGATAAAGTTAGTAAACGAAAGAAATAAAAAATGTTTATGTACAAACTAATGGGTCATATTTAAGAACCTCTAAATCCTCCATGTCCCTCCCATGTCTCACGTACTTTTTGCTGCAATTTGCGATGCGATTTCTGACATGTAGCCATGTTATGTTATCCGAAAAGTATTGTGCTTGCATTCAGAAAAATTGTGAGCATGGCCTACATTCTACTCTGCTGTAATTTTCGTTAAATAACATACTCTTGACTTGGTGGAAAATAAAAGAAACGAGATGAAAATCCCATTGACCATTGTCTTGTTTCTTGAAAGAAAATGATTTTTTTTAAAACAATCTTTTCATGGGTGGGTTGCAAATTGGAAACATATGAGTTATGACATTTGTAGAAGCATCACGATTCTACTACAGTCCTGGTCAAAAATGTTAGCAACTTTGCGTAATTTAGGAAACCCTCCCCCTCCCTCATTCAATGTTGTATGTAGTGGAGGTCTGAACATGAAATTGTGCATAAAATGCGCAAGGATGCAGCATATGGCAATCGGAAATGGAGCAGCCTGACAAAACAGACGACCTTTCACTCACTCTCCTGAGCGAAAGATAAAACAGACGACCTTTCACTTACTCCCCCGAGCGAAAGATACTCTTTCGCTCCGGAGAGTGAGTGAAAAGTCGTCTGTTTTATCAGGCTAATTTAACAAAAGTTTCAAAATATTAGAAGTTGGTGAAGTTGATAATCAATAGTACACCCTTCCAGAAAGTACGTCACTTTGGCTACAGAGCCTCGTTTTCGTGTATGTGAGAATCAATGAAACGAGTGACGTCGTTTCCGGAATGGTGTGGTCCATTCTTGACCTTGCCTGAAAACTCTTCTCAGTCATAACATACGGAAAAGCTTTGCCCTGAAAAACATACTTTATTGACCAAACAAAACTTTATGCCGAAACACAATGCGTGCCAAACCGATAGCAGTGACTATTAACAACTACCCATCTAACTCCAGCAATGAAGTCATAGAACTTGAAAACCACCCAACCACGGTTCATTATGGTAAACTCGGACATGCAAAGGTCTCGCCTGAACCCTACCAAAATAATTATGTTGACGATGTTGACACAAAGTTGAAACGACGAAGTCAAAAATGCCTGAATGTTTTTCTGACTGTATCCTGCATTCTTTCCTTGGCGGCATTGGGTCTCGTATGTGCTTTGTTATTTGGATTTATTGAGCCAAGAGACTCCCGAAAATTGAATGGCTGCTTGTGTAGAACTGTGGGATTGACAGGTAATTTGAACTATTTATCACAAAGTAATCGTTGGGTAGTTAAGTGTTGTGTATTCCTGGTGCTATCCATAATGGCCGTAACCAAATCTACTGACCTAATTGACGCTAAATGATTCTACGGGAGAAGATACCTTTACATATAGTTAGCCACCAAAAACAAGGTCCGTATTTTATTAAGGTAGTAGTATATATTAGCCATCCCGTATACATACAATCATTGAAATGCATCAAACCCTTGGGTGAACCAGACTTTATTTTAAAACACTGAGCAATAACAATGGTACTACACTTTGTATTAGACCAATTTTAATAATATTAGTGCCAACTTAAGAAATGCGGCTATGAAAACTAAAAACATATCTATCACTAACCCTTTCACACTAAAAACCACATCAAAGTTCAATACGTCCCCTGATCATAATTGGGATGAAGCGACAGTTTATCGCTTTCAGGACGATATCAAAAATGAATGCCCTCGTTCACTGGCACTGCGCTCACTCGTGACATTTATGATATCACCCCCTCATATGATAACCTAATAGGCTATACAAAACTGAGGCCATTGCCATATTACAGTTGTTTCTGCTTAAAATCGGAAATACTGCAAGACATACAGAAGGAAGCACTATGCCTATGGCCCTTTCGTGACACAACGTGACACAGAAACGTCAGCGCGGAAAACCTTTGGGTTGATCATAGAGAAGCCTATCGAAAGAAAGATGACCAGTGAAACTCATATAGAACAACAATATAACTCATTATCTACGTCAGTCAACGTTTATTCATAAATCTGGTCCAAGTTCTCCGTCACGTGCGTATTTTGTTTTTGCCCAATTAACCAATAGCAACTAGTAGATGTTTTAGGAAAGTTACCTATCTGTAACTCGAACCGATAGGGTAATTTGGAAAATTGGTGGATTTCGCAAAGTATAATACACACGTGAGGGTAAAGGGTGATTTATGAATAAACGTTGACTAACATAATAACGAGTTATATTGTTATTCTAATGAGTTTCACAGCCATCTTCCTTTCAATCAACCTCGTGCCCAGTGTCTCCTCTTCGCCGTAGCAGATGTTCGGGGGCCTGGCGGAGGCGAGACACTGTGAAACAGGTTGCTTTTCGATAGGCTATGTGGTACCATACACTGAACAGTTATAGTTACTAAGTTTTCCGAATAGTCAGTTTCGATAACTTAATGTTTGCTTCCGTATTACAGGTCGCACTAATTCCATTGCTTTAACAAAAAATGGCAAATATTCTGATCTCAATGACGAGGTTAAAGAGTTGAAAAACAACTCAAAAAATGTTAATGAAACACTGGTGAGTTGTTTAGGTACACAATAAAACAACATTAACAAACAAACTTATTAACAATTAATATATAAACAAACAAATAAATAATATCGCTATGTCTATGACGAGTTATACAGTATATATGCCTTGTATAGTTTACCGGCGTACCAATAAAATTTGTAAAAAATGTGCATATTCCTGCACTAAGCATATCATTCAAAGTTTCTCCCATTTTATATATTAAATAGGTGTCCATGCAAGCTGCTTTTGACCATCAAGCAAAAGACATAAATAAATTAACAGGACAGGTACTCACATTCATGCAATGCAGCATATATGCACTTGTAAATATGTTGTTGTTGTTGACGTTGTTGACGTTTTTGCTGCCGTCAGTTTTGATGTTGCTATTTTCGTTTGTTGTTGTCGTCGTTTGTGAATTGATGTTGTTGTGTTGTTTGTTGTTGTCGTTATTGTTGGTTGCTTGTTGTCATTTGTTTGTTGTTTCCCAGTTGTTGTAGCGGTTCCTCCTGAGGAGAGTACTATGCTATTTATTATTTTTGTTTGCATGCTGGACATACATTCAGTAATTTTTAGGAAAAAAATACTTTGTTTTTGTTATTTAGATAAACTCAATTCAAAACTTCCAAACTGGAGAAAAGCTAACAAATTTTTCACATGAAATCAATGAACGTTTAACAAATATTGAGAAGGTACACTTGTACTCAAGCTGGTCAGTTGACAATAGTCAATATATATAATTTAATGAACCCTAGTCGAATGAAATATATCGTTGATGAAAGTATATTAATGATATTTTCTCCACTTTTTTAACAGTAAACAATATTTTATTCCCTCTGTAGCACAAAAATAAGACAGAAAAACATATCTTTGATGTTATGGGGAAAACAAATTCAAAGGTAACTTCTCGATTGGTACGTTATAAAGTGCATGCAGTGACTGCATGAGTGACACTTTCAAAAACATACAGTCATTTATCTTTATCATCTGCACACTAGATTGACGAGTGGGAAAAGGAAATACGACAAAACATGACCCAAAAAATGCTACAAAGAGCAGCTGACGTCGACTTCACTTTGAAAAAGGTAATTCTGTTGAAATCATTACTATAGTAATATAATGTATCAAATAATTAATGCATGGGTGAAAGGAAAAAATATACTATAGAAAGAACACACTACACAGTCACAGATCGATAAAGCAGAATATGTCTGAAATAATTGAAATAATATGGATCTACTCCAAGCTACTTTTTATAAAAAAAGATTTGAGGCATTATGTAAGATGCGTCACCGTCATCTGCAGGAACGTTTGGCGCATAGAGGTCTACGATTACGAAGAACAGTTCAGAATTGATTGAGCTATTGATATCAATAAAAGTAGTTTAGCGTTTAGTGTTTCAGTATGATACCATGGATAGTTGAAAAAGACTAGTGTTTTTATGACACTATAGACTAGTGTTTTTATGCTGACCAACGCAATATTAACAAATGTATTATATTGCTTAATAAAATTTATTTCACTTAAATAATTCCTGCTCTGAAATAATTCTAGTTTGCCAACTTTAAAGAGGGCCTAATGACAAATGTGACAAGTTCACTGCAAAAGATTGACATATTCTCCTTCGTTATTGAAAAGGTAGATACAAATTACGCTATTAAATTAAAGTCAGCAAATCACTGTTTACTTTTATAATTCATTCGATGTTTAGCTATAAATGAAATAAAATTTAAACCACGTAAAACGTAAAAGAATGACAAAACGTAAAAGAATGACGTAACGTAAAAGAATGACGTCATAGGCAAGATGTGTTTTTTTGTAAAGAACTAAAAATAATAACAAATTGTAGTATATTTGTATATCACATTAAAAAAGCAAAACCCATTTTCAGTAATTAATTAAATATTAAATTTCTAATATATATATAACCCAATTGATACTCCATAATACGCACTCTTCTTCAGTTCATTAACGAAACCAACAAAAAAATGTCAGAGACAAGAAACTTTACAACATCAATGGTAAGCAAGATTTCTGATACTGTTTGCAGGCAGTACTTTCAAGGAAACGTTTTAAACTTATGTAAATGTATTAACTCAGTTGCAGAGGAATGCACAGCAAGTTGAAAAAATGAATTCTTCTATCTGGGAAAAGGTAAAGACTAGCCTAAACTAGCCACTACTATATACTCGATACTAACTTTCGCTCGAAACGTCGTATTTATCACTGGAAAAAAAATTGAAATCCATACTACGAAATTTGCAATTGCATCCTATTTCCATACTATATCCATATTATGGAAAGGTACAATTATTATGGATAACCAAAATCTATTCTATTTCCAATAAAGGTCCATACAATTTCCATTCTATGACCTTCTATGGATTTTCAAATTTTTTTCCAGTGTCTCCTTATATTTTTTAGGTAGTTGCATCCCTATCCAACCGAAGCCTGTTTTCTGTTATTATTGACACTACCTACACTGGCATACCCTGGACTGCTCGTGTGACCACAGCCTCCTCGTCGTAACACTGGCACAGACCATTCAGTATTGACTTCAACCTACAGTCCTAGTTTCGATAACATGCGCTATTATTAATGGATAAACAACATATTTAACATGATAGATGACATATTTCTTTATTTTGCTCACATGCTAACACTGGACTGGATCAAAATTAGTTCACCTCACTTTAGAGTTTAGGTAGTGATTTATGACGGATATCAAATCCAACAATTTGGATATATCGCAAGAAACTGTCATAATTGCGGATATCCATGCAGTAAAGTGCAGGACTGGATATCCATTGCAGTATACATTGCAGTAAAGTCCTTATAGTCCTTATACTCAGGATACTGATCCGTTGTAGCAAAGTCCTTATAGTCGTGTATATTTAATTTATTGCCACAAATCGCATCACTGGATTGTTTGAAGTTTGATCAGTCTAAAAATTGCAGACAAACAGTAATTGAAATCTTCTTTGCAGCTTAGTACAATGAGGGGCCCACGAGGATATAATGGAAGCCAAGGGATAGCAGGACCATCAGGTCCACAAGGAGCCCAAGGCAGACAAGGACTACGAGGACTGACCATCGAGGGATGTCAAAATCACACGGAAACACAGTTGGTTAAGTTCGGGAAGGGGACATGGGATTTTGCAATTACATTGAAAAGCACGGTAAGGAAGTAGTATATGTCGTTATGCACCATACTGATCGTTAGGCCAAAAAAAAAATATGTGGGTTTCCGGTTTCCCGACCCTACCTAGCTTTTGGACGTCGAAATCCCGACCCTAGACTTTTTTATTGGATCATGCTTGTAAGTGTTTCCACTTAGAGGAAGTTTGTGGAAAATTGAAATTTGAGGCAATATTAGCGAAATTTATCTTTGGATGTGGAAACACTGACTAAGCAATATGGCGTCCGCTTGTTCGGAAAATTAAAAAAAAGTTTTTAAAAAAAAGTTAAAACCGACCTACCCTACCTAAGTTTTTATGAGAAGAAACCGGAAACCCACATATTTTTTTTTGGCCTTACAGAATTGTTCAACGAAGCATGCTAAAAACAAGTCTTTCAAAATGGGTGACTGCATGGCATGGAGAAGTTGGCATAGTGCATGGGATTTTCAAAACATCGATCAAATTGTTAGAAAAAATACAAAACTAATTTGGGGACTTAATTAAAATACAAAAATTTGGAAAAGATATAAAAATTTTGGCTGCTCTGATTGGAAAATTTGGATCGAATCAAGAGATCCATTTCGGTTATAGCCGATATTTGAAAAAGCATGGCCCGAACGTTTACATCATGAACGATGATTTGTAATGCTGAGTACTACGGAACGATGAGTAATGATGAGTACACGGAACGACATGAAATTTCATTGGTTTTGCAATGGGTTGCATGCGTTACAAATTGTCTCGCGGTGTATCACTGCAATACAAGTATAATAGCATCGACTGATCGGAAAAGAATTCAATGTGATTTTTAATCGCCATTGATAAACAGCGACTTCTAGCTATATCATACCTAATCTTTTAAAAGTTGTATCCAATTTTTTTAGAGTGCGCTATATTTCAACTTGAAATGTGAAGCAGACGATTATGGGGAAGCAAATTATACAAAGAATGGAAATTCGTACGTCTGTCAGTGTATGCACAAACCTGGACACACAAGAAATTATAACTGTATTCTGAAGTACACGAAATGTACTTTGATATCTATTTGACGTTGAAGAGAAGCTTATTCATACCATGGGCATGGATCATAAACACTACGATAACAGGCATTTCTTTCAATAATACAAGATGTTCATATTGGCCAATATTATTTATTTTGAGACGAGCTTTCGGCCACTAGACTGTGGTCTTCGACAGGTACAGGGATAATCAAAATAGCAAGGTGATTCCAAATCTATAATGTCACGTAAAATATGGTATAAAAGCTTGCTATTTTTATTACTCCGGTCGAAGATCATAGTCTATAGATCGTCTAAATAAAAAAAAAATTTGGTCAATGAACTTCTCGCATTTTCTCACCAAAAGTCCTGTCAATAAATATATCAATTCAGTTTGCCTGATAAATTACTAACGGATTAATTTAGTCTGGATTAATATAAAACAACTTGGGTGGTAACCATTACTGACCTTCAGTAAAATATGTCAATCAAGCTTCAAATAACCCACTAGTGATTTCAAGTTGAAACTGACACGTTTACATGGTCCGACTCCATCCCTCAGTTAACTAAATACTCAGTTGAGTTACAGTACTGTATGGTGGCCGATCGCTATCATTCATATTTTTGTTCAATAATAATAAAACAGATTACAAATTGCATTTCAATTGATAAACGATTTGAAATATAGAATGATATAGAATTGATATAGAATTGATATATATGAATATAGAATTGATAGCGATCGGCCACCATAGGCATAGTACTGCATAAAATTGGAATTGCTTTTAATAATCACTGAATCATCAATCATGACATGAATAAAACGGACATATTCTGGAATAATGCATTTATTTTTTTCAAAAATCGAACCCCCTGCAGACATCAGTCAAAGATTAACTAATTAACATATTTTGCACTCATCGCGAAATATGCGCAATCACTTCAAAATAAATATAACGCACTCAGCAGTCTCAAACCATGAAGACGCTTTCGACAAGATCTTCGCCGGTTATTTTATTGCCGAACGATGGACAAAAACAAACGAATGATCAAAATGAAGCCAATCACAGAGATAACGAAAGGCACTGGGCATGGCTTCGACCGAATTCTATTGAACAAGAACGCGTTAACGTTCCAAGTTCGCGACCATTACAAGCGAAACGAAGATATTGTTATGAGAACGGAAAATGCCTGCTAACTGTTGCTCTATTCGGAATTATCTCGATGGCAATGAATTGTGTTGTTTGGTATCTTGTGCTTGGCGTAGATCACAAATGTCAGTGTTTATTTGACAATGAATACATTAGAGGTAATGTCTTGCCTTTTTATGCTTTTACATTTGATGAATTTCGATCAAGGCACTATCTTTACTGCTTGAAAGTCCGTGTTGTATAAGTACACAGATAAAATTACACAGACAAAAGTTAATAAAGTTACACAGACACGAGCCAAAGGCGAGTCGTTTTATCATCTTGATGAAAACGTTCGTATTCTTCAAATTATTTCAAAGACATGAATGGTATTTGGTGAGAAAAATGGACTTTGTATCCTTCACGGTCATGATTTCCTTTGACTTTGTGTTTTCATTGACCCTGCAGGACTTTATTTGTGACTATTTCAAGGCAAATTTAATAGCCAAAGTAATCTATTTTTACCAGTTGTCTTAACACCTACAGCATACGTTAACATAAGCATTTAAATTTTGCTATCACAGGTCCGGGGTGTTATTATGATGACTATCAAACTGCAAAATAAAATCGGTGTGAGATTGGTTAAACAATGTTAAATTGCATCAAATTGTCATAATATGCCTCTTTTCTTTGTATAGGGCATTCCATTGGCGAAAACTTCACTGACGTTTTGCACGATTGGAAGGCAAAGTTACAACAAGACATCACAGATTTGAGCAGCAAAATGGTTAGTTTCTTAACTGAGTGCTTTATTCCCGAAGAGTTAACAAGACACACAGGCAAGGGTTAACAAGACATGCTCTGAATAACACATTGAGTGCCAACACTCTTTTCTTCATGAGTAAAATCGTCTGTCATTAGACGGAGGAAAATAATGAAGTAGGGCACATTAGGTTGCAATGTCACCTAACTCACCTTAAAGGTTCACAAGATGCATGGGCATGATTAACCACTGAGTCAGTGAGTGTGAGCACTCTCTTTTTGATGAGTAAAATCATCTGGTGTCAGACGGAGTAAAATTACAAAATTACCAAGTAGGATGCATTGGGTAGGACGCAAGGCCACCCCAAAGGTTGACAAGACACATGTTTGTAAAATTGTCAGGCTTTAGACAGAACAAAATCGTCTGGCATTAGAGAGATTAAAATAAAAAAGTTAGGGTGCATTAGGCCACAATGCCACTTAAATTATTAAATATATTCCTGGTTGATACCAACATATCATTATACCATGGTCTTTTGCAGCCCTGATGCAGGCTCAAGTGCATTACTTGCAGAGATAGTGAATTTTCAAAATTTTCTTTTCAGGATAATTTTTCGAAAACTCTAAATGACGAACATCAATGTGATGGAGGCAGCAAAAACTGCAGGAAAAAGTCGGTAGGTTATTCTTAATTGTTTTTGTTTGTGGAAACACCACGTAAATTTATTACTCTTAATCAGAAAAAATACTGCTGATTTCACTCTTCAGGCATTTTTTAATACCATGGACTGGTGGGGCAGTTGCCCCACTGGGCCCCTTCCTCTGCCCCACCACTGAAGGGCCTATTGCCCCAAAGCCAGGGCCCTAAGACCTGTATTGAGTAAATGAGTTTAACATTGAAAGTTTAAAAGACAAAATTTTTTGTTGAGCATATACTTACACTAAATATGTTGTGTTTGAATGTTTATATAATGCAATTTATTACAAATTTCACCATTAAAACTTTGTTTTGAAAAGCTGAGATTTTTACCCCACCACTGAAGAATCTTAAAAAATGCACTGTCCCTGTTAATTTCATTGCAAAGTATGCATTGTTCTCTACAAACCCCTGGAAGACCCTCAATATACATGCTTCATACTGTTATACCCTTATTTTCGTTTAGCCAAAGTATTTTTGATCTTGCTGATATTATGTAGTACGATTTTTAGGATGACGGATATCCTGATGCATATTATAAAGAAATAGCTGAAACATTAGAAAAACTTTATAACGTAAGTCAAAATTATTTCAACAGAAATATTTTTTAAATATCAGTTCTAAACTGTCACTTGTAAATGTCAAGTAAGAGCGCAAAAGCAATCGTATGCTTATCTTTCTAGCAAACAGAAGAAGATATTGCAAGACGATTTCAACAAACGAATGCTAAGGTTATTATATTATTTATAAAAAATCTTTATTTAGAAAATGTAGGTAATTACTTATTATTAATTAGCTAATTAATGTTAATTATTAGTCGTGTTTAATTGTTTCATTCAGTTCTCACAGTTTAACCTGTATGGTTATTACATGGTTTTATTTTGAAGGTTGAGAGAATCAGTGAACAGGTTGAAAAACCTAACTGTGTATTGAAACAAGTAAAACGAAGCAAAAATGGCACGTTGCTCACAGTACATGTGCCAAAAAGCACTGAGGTATTATTAGTCTTATTAGTCAAAATCATTTAATGTCGGCAACAAAACTGTGCGTTATGTTACAGA